TTTAAGGGGATGCTGGAGTGATTCTGCACTTTCGCACCTTTTGCACTTAAAACTGTCTGTTTCGTGGAAAGATTTGTGTAATACACAAATTAAATGGTACGTGTACAGATGATCGAAAGCAGCTTGCTATTCCGGCTAAATTAAAGAACAATATGACATCACTGAAACTAAGTTTGTAAGTCTAATAAAAAATAATAGTGAGCAACACATACATACAGTACATGTAGTATGTGCTCACTATTATTTTTTATTAGACTTACAAACTTAGTTTCAGTGATGCCATATTGTTCTTTCATTTGGCCGGAATAGCAAGCTGCTTTCGATCTGTACACGTAAGCCTAAGCCATTTAATTTGTATATTACACAAATGTTTCCGTGAACTGACAGTTTTTAGGTTAGAAAGGTGCAAAAGAGCAGAATCACTCCAGCATCCCCTTAAAATCAGTTGTATTCAGTGCTTTCGCTTTATAAATTGTATGTATACGCTGTGCAAACATGTATAGTGCAATAGTCACACTATTGATCGACCTTAAACAACCGAATGAGTAAATGCATAATTATTTACAACGAAATTGCAAGGTGCAGGAAGATAAAATGCATTTATCATTTTGTTCCTTTATCAATGGATAGAATGAATATTTAATGGAGTAGATTTTTGCCTGCGTACCGAGAGAGCGTGAAGTTGCAGGGAAATTTAGCAGCCAGTTGCAACAGCACTTTTTAACGGCGCTTCAATGAATAAGTCATAAAACTAAGGAGTACTTTTCTTCCGTCATTCGAGAACTTCTGTCATTTAAAGTAGATACATTAAATAAATTCGTATTCCGAATAAAATGTAATTTAATTAGTCGCCGCATTGTACGCCGTTGCAAGTCATTTGTATATCACAATTCAGCCGACTCTCAGCTTCTCTACAAAATACGTCATTTTACTTGATATTTTACAACTGTCGCAATCACAGCACATTGAAATTATGTCCTATTTTTAATTTAGTTTGGCCAAAATAGAAATTATTCATTACTTGTGGCTTTAATTAACAGAAATTATTCAGTTTCATTTCGACATTGTTGTTTAAACAAGCAGAAAATTGATGGTATTCCATTAATTTAGCTACAAATTATTCAATTATTTAAATAGGACCGCAACACATAAATAATACTTCGGCGCAACATGACGGGGTGTTCCCTCGATTGTTCGCGATTAGTGGCACGTGCGCCGAATGTATTATGGCTAACAATCGGTAATATATTGGATTGGTAATGTGTTATATCGCTAACAATCGGCATTACGTTGAATCCTAGATATCGCAATGATCTGTCGTTCTCCAACATTATTTGGCACGCATGAAAAAGTCGTACAGTCCCGTGGCACTCTTTGTAATCCTTGCTTATGGTGAATTCAATTTTGTCGTTATTACACAACGCACGACACAGGTAATTCAATTTTACCGAGTCGAAGCGATATTTCACGAATGCAACGCGTGCTGTCTTCGTCCTATCGCGTTACCGCGTATTATTTGTCCGGCAGTCTTCGATAGTTTACTTCCGTTTCTTTCTCCCTGCCTGTTTACTCACAAAACCCTGTTGACTTCGCGATCCGATTCCCATGCTATCGCACCGACAACGGAAATATCGCTCACTTTGAATTCATTCGGGCGAAATCGTTTGCACAACAGTTTGTATAACACAGTTTGTATCTTCATTAATATCTCGTCAATTATCTTATTGTGCGTTTAAACGAAACATGAGCTCGTTTCTTTGCGAAATTTCACTCGATATTTCACTCGAAATCGTTGTATCCGAGGGACGTAAGGCAGCATTTGTGTAATCGCCATTTTACGAGAAGCTTTATCTTCTCTAGCGGAAAAAATTACTATAAATAACTACAAAAAATTGACTTGAAATAGAAATTTGTGGAAATTTTTATACCTTCGTTGAAACATTAATTTTTTTGTAAAAATATCTACAAAATAGTACCAGAAATTACGATGTTCTCAAATAAAAAATTATTGCAAGTAGTGTTTCATGAAAATGTGCAATTTTGTAAAAATTAGTACAAAACTTTACTAGTTTAAAAAATTTGAGAAACAAGATCTTAAAGAATTAAAACATCTGTTTACTTGTAGAATATTACAAAAATTAACAAAAGCGTTCCAATTCTAGCACTTTCATGTTGATTTTTTTATTACGCCTTTTAAATTTACGTAGAATTTCTTAGATTCTGGCAGTTATATTTTAGTTTTTGTAGTATTTTTTGTAAGATTTTTTGTAGAATTATTTCCTGCGGGGTTATTGAACGAAATTGAACTCGTTTCCTCGCGGAATTTCACTCGATGTTCGAAATCATATCCGAGGGACGCGAGGCAAAATTTGTGCAAACGTAATTTTACGAGAAGCTTTACAAGTGCGAGCAAAATTGCAGGGGCGCCGATGAAAGAAATGACGCTTTGCCGAGCGCCGCTAACGCGGAAGGTGCATCTTTCAGTGCAGCGATGGTTTCTCGGGCGAATATTAAAGTAGACGGTCTCATAAAGTCCCCGTATTCTCTCGGCGCGACGGCGTTATCATCATGACGATCGTTACAACGATAACGAGGTCGACCTAGTGCCGTCAAATCATTTGTTCGTTAATTAATGGCAGCATCATCGGGGAAGGCGTTGTCCCTAGACTGCCGTTATACGTGAATGATTGATTCCTCTTTGTCAAGGTCAGGCACGTAATTCCCTAAATATACGATAATTTTCACGATCGTTTCGTCGCGAGCAGTTAAATTGGACACATTTCTTCCTTATAAATATCTATAATACGTAAATAAGGAGAAAGTAAATGAGAATACACATATTTCCGTTATCTCTTAACTTCCTCGAAACAAATCGTTTCTGAAGCAAATTAAAGAACGCGAGGGAAAAATTCAGAAACCAATAATTGTAATAAACGTTTCTGAAAATGGTATTATCGTAGAAATCTATAAGTTGAGGCCACTCTTGAAAAGCCAAATCCCACCGGAGGAAATAAAAGTAAAATAGGCCATTGACAGGGGCATTAATGAATTTGTACAGGAGTGCACGCGGCTAAGGGGAGAATCCGATGCGTAAGATCCCGTGATGGTTCGCGGAAGCGGAGAGGGTAGCGAGGAGGCTCGCCTAAGGTGGGGTGGGTTGAAGTTAGGTCACGCCGCAGACCGCGAATGTAGGGCTGTGGGTCGCGCCCGGTCGAGCTCAGCTGCGCCGCGCGCGCCGAAGAAGGGGTTGCAGCTCGCCTGCGATCAGACGAGCGCGGCGCGCTACTTCCGTCCGCTCTCCGCTGCGCGCACCGGGGGGAAATCGTCGCGTGCCGCGTGCGAGGGTGGAAATCGCCGGCAATAATGGTGAGGCGAGCGCGGACGACCTCGGGGAAGCAGGACGGGTCCCGACCAGCCTCCCCCGCGAGACCAGTCTGGACCAATTCCGCGCGATGACGACCGCTCGATTTCGGAGGTCGCGGCGACCTTGCGCGCCTCTCCTCGTCGTTCGGCGCCCTCGGCGCCCTGGACGGCCCACGATATAACTTTCGGCCGCTCGTCGCACGTATTTCGGAACTTACGAAAATCTCGCTGGCGAACGTAACGTCCCTCGACGTTCTCTGGGGGTGAGTGGAGCACACCACTTCGGAGCTGTCACTTTCGCGCGCGCGGATGTCGGCCTCGACGTACGCGATCGGAACTCGGCAACGGAGGCCTTCAACGTGGGACGGCGGGACGGTAGTTTGACCGGTTGACGCGGACGCGACTCGCGAGCGGCCGGGGAGAATTTTCGCGCGGAACGTTCGAGGTCGACGTAGCGGTTTCACTACGTCGATTCGACGGCTCGCTCTTAACGCGGTTCGCACCACCTCGATCACCCTCGGTAGACTACGGCCCCTGTCGTCTTGGCTCGGCTCGCACACCATGACGTCACGCGGACAGACGAAAACCCCGGCGGTCTGGGGTATCGATCGCGTGCGCTGGCGCAGCCGACGCTTCGCGCCGCGACGCTGGATAATCAGGAGGCAGACGCGGGACACGTGGCTGAGACTGCGAGGGATGACAGTTCGGGGGCCTCGAGCTCGCACAGGTGATTCCCGGCTGTAAAAATTATTGACACCCCATTTTCTAACGACGGCACCCCTCGTTTCGCCGATACGTTTGTAGATGTAATTGCGTCAAATGCTTGAATTCGAGTCCTTTTACATGAGCGACGTGTACACGTTAATCTTTTATCTCATCGTTATGAGATAAAACGATGAGTCAACGGCACTTTATACACATAAGCATCGATGTCATTTAATAACTCACTGGTATCAGGGCGCGAGAGCTTTCGCTCGTCGGTGCTTCACTGGCCTAGCACCATTGTTCTTCGCGAATAATTGCTGTAATAACTTGGCAAAAATATATTGGAATTAATTCATAATTTGAATATTTAAAGACGCGGAATAATAATGCCATTGTTCGTCGCACAATTGACGGTAGACAGTTAGGGCTTTTCATTCTTAAAATATCCACGTATTGTCGTGTACACCTGTCGATATTCCGATGCCCGATTGTTCAAATACGATATTCGATTTATCGCAGTGTCGACTGGTCGCTGTTACGGCGCGGCGGAATGATTTTTCATTAATCTGTTAATTCTTCATCCCTGCCGGATTTTAAGTGGCTGTAGAAACAATTCCGCGGTAAGTAGTAAACGTAATTTGGCGACGACCGTGACGTCGGGCGTTATTAAGCCTAAACAGCACTTTACAAAACGGCGCGATAATTCTCGAGGAGGCTCAGACTAAAAGGGGAATTAGTTAAATTTCAATTAAATTAACGTGCACGCTCGTTATCGTCGTTCGCGCAATTCTATTCAGAGAGCAGAATCGGTTGCGTGGCTTCATTTTCCCTCCAGCTATCGCGTTGCCTGTCAATTCGACATTTCTTCATTCTCTGAGGCTGTCATTCTGAAACTTACGTTATCTCTCTTCCTCATAAACTGCCACTCTGACGGTTTCGAAACGCGTTCCTACTCTGTATTATTTTGTAATTATTACATTTGAATTAATTACAATTAGTTTAGTTCATTAATAAACGTAACAATTATATTTTGTAATTATTAACGTTTTACGTAATTACATTCCTTCCAGACAATGAAGTGTCATTTAAAAATTGCACCGACTACAATGCAAATTACTTTCATTCACCGCCTAAATGCCGATGTAAAATAAAAGTTGGTAATAAAGTTTCAAAGTGATATCATTAATGCGTTAATTGCTGTTGTTTACCAGAGAACCAAGTGTTACAAATATTAACTTTATTTGGATACTCGCGGCAAGCAAACCGTTTGTAAAACGATTTAAAAATTTCCTCGAATGTCCCTGTTAATTTACAAAAAGCCATCGGGTAAATGTCATTCGCGTAAATATCACTAATTAAAATGTTGTGCACTTGTCACGAACGTTGCGTTGTTATTACAACGTAGCGATAGAAGAGTCGTGAGATTTTATTTTACAGCAAACTCTACAACGCAACCTATATAGAAATATAGAAGGAAAAGGACCAATTTATATAAATTACGGAAATGGAATCCGTTTAAATGGGAGAGAAAGTAGGTAAGGGGGCGATAATGTAAACTAAAAATACTTTTTTAATTATTTTCATAGTAGAAGTAATGGGCTAATGATTTCCATTAGGAAAGTTCTGCTTGACGCTGATTAATGTGCGCAATGGAAGGGAACCGAAGCTGGCGGTAGATGGCAACGTCCCTTAGAGCAACTTCGGTATTGCAACCCCTGCGATTGTGCGAAATTGCAAATACCGACATCTACCGGGGGGAAAGGGAAGTAAAACGGAAGGAGTTGAAAATGAAATAAGTGCGACACTTTTCCGTACATCGGCGCGCAACTTTCCCCTGCAAATCTCTTACCATTACCTTCAGCGATAACGCGAATATCTGAGGCTGTCTCCGGCCAGTCACCACCTCTTGGTAAGCTTGCAGTCGCGAATGCTCGGGGTGTGTCTTCAGCGCGGGATATCGATCGCGTATCGTTAAGGGTGACAGCGAGAACTACAATTTACAATTGGTATGCTTGACGTTACGTGCTGGCGTCTAGGCATTTAGAACGCGTCAACGGAAAAAGATGTTGGGGCGACAAAAAAAATTACCGCTGTGAGATTAATTGCGGTAGATACCATTCGCCAATGAGAAATATTTTGTATAATTGATGAAAACTATACTTAAAATATTATACTTAAAATATTATAGGCATAAAGCCTCAAAGGAATTATTGAACAGAGAAAAATATTAAACATGAATTAACACTATTAAACATGCATAATAATAGAAAAGACAAATGCGTAGCGCTGCAGCGTTAAAATGTACACACACACGTTTCATATATGTACTATATGTATATATAATGAAGTTAAAAGCAGTTTTCTAACAAAGGATTTTCAGGAAAATTCTCAATCCAAAATTTAAATTACATTTTTCACTGTTGTTGATAGAATTTGCTGGCCTGTTACGCATTGTGAATCTATTAGTATTAAAATGCCAACCGCTGAAAGCATAACTGATGACCTATTGATCACGTATTTATGACTTTTCTGTAACGCAGTAGGAGATCACCGACAGCCAGATCGTATCACCGATCTTATTTGCTGTGCATAAATTCCTGTCCCTTGTAAAATTGTGAAAAACGTAAGTAATATGACGGAATAAAATAAGCAGTACTTAATTAATTGTAGTAAATAATTTTGAAATTTCTATACAATTTTTATACGTAACTTTGTATATAAATAAAAATACTGTGATATGTAAGGATGTCTTTCTTGGCGTAAAATAGCAAAACAAAATTTGCTGCACAATTAACGCGTTGAGCAACATTTATCGTATTTATTAAATATTGAGTGACAGGAGCTTGTTGGATTATCTATAAAAATTCAATTTAAGGTCAGTATAAATCCAAAGCGTGGATGTACGTGCCATAATGAAGTTATCTTTCTGCCCTTTATGCACTTCGAACAGCTCAATTTAACTCTTTGCACACCCAAAATTTTTCTCAGTTAATATTACTTGATATCTGTTTTAATTTTTACAGTTTTTCTCAATCACACCAATTCTTTTCTCTTATTCCTTTCACGTGCGGCATTAACAAACTTCGATTTCCTCTGTACTTTTTTTCTTGGAAATTTTAATGATCGCTTCAAGTTCTTTCGCACGAATTCTACTTTATATAAATCCTAGTTTGCTCTGTAGAAAGTTGAATATTGCTGCGTGTTAAAATGTATATATTCCTAGGTACGTTATGGGATTTTTCAGAATGGTTTCCGATCGGAGCTGCTCAGTTATTTCCCAGTGTGTTTTCAAGGAAAAACGGAATAAAAATTTCAATTTGAATTAATTCCGAAAAATTTCATAATACGTGTCCTGCAATGGGGTGTGGACGATTAACGTAAGCCCCATCATATAATCTGTCTTTGCCCGTCCATTTACCGCGATACACATGCGTCGATGTATACTTAGTATATTGTATACTAGTGTTCGCAATGCTGCGTATGTGTTGCCCGGTTATTTTCTCGCGCAAGCGCACAGTCGATTTCATGCAGGCAAGACTAGACAGACTGTTGGTACTTTTGCTACGTCGTTCAGATGGCTATGCACCTTCCAAGGGTATATAGGGATCTAAGCGCTGTGTCTATTTTCTTGTACGTACCTATTTGAGCATCGTTTCGAACATATTTTTCGGTATTAGTGACGCAAGTGTTGAAAAATTTTCGAAATATTGACACAGTAATGTAAAGCTTCTCTTTACATTACTTTACAGAGTAAATAAACCGTCAGGTAATTGGGGCTAAAACGCATTCTTTTGCATCTCTCAGGTGATTGATTGACGCTGTTAGAATCTTATTGGTTAAGTTTTCCCTACGTGTCATGGAAAGTTTTACAGGGCTCGAGGAGAATAGATGCCGATGAAAGAGATGCGACTGTCAAGAATTTCCTATAAACTTCTACAATGTTTCATTTTCTCAGTACATACCTTCGTAGACTTAATTTGTCGAAGTTTTGCAATTTTTCCTCGTCGATTTTGAACATTCATAATTTGATAATATATCCATACGAAATAATTTATTCCTCGAACATTACAATAGCACAAACAGTAGCAGTAGCGAATGGTTACTTATTTTTTAAAAGTCACTAGTCAAAGAGAGCGTCGCGTTTATGTCCGCGTCGTCACCAAAAATAAATAATGCATTCCTAGACGCATTCCTAGTGTCAATTAATATTCCGTGATTATAAAAAATATTTGCAAATAATTAATCAGCGTTGAATGCGATGTCTGAAATGCGATTGAATGCGCGGTATTCAGAGTGCCGTGTTCTAGATTTCGACAAAAACATTTAAAAAATTTGGTTGGCGATTAGAATTAAAAAAAAAACGTCGCGGCGAATAACGCAGTTGCCTGCGGAGTCTACCTCAAAAAAGACAACACGACTGCTAATTCTGAGCGACTATTCTCGTTGGTATCGATTGCTTTCTATTCCGAAACTGTGACATTAAAGATGTCTGTAAAAGTGTGTATTTTCGTCATCCCGAATCTAGCACAGAAATATCTAAGTGAGCGCTGTAATATCCATATCTTCCTGATCCAGGCTTCGGTAGCGGATTCAGGCTGCCATTAAAAATTTACGAAAGCAACGACGTTAAATCTGTGATCAATTTTGTTAATTGTCTACGGAGAGGAATATTAAAGTAGGACTGCGAGGCTGTTTAATATTTTCATCGGCTAATCTTTGTCGCGTGCAACGACAGTTCTATCTTCTCCGTTTACCATCTTCTTCTCGCGATCGAACGAATCTATTTTGATTAATCAGATTGTATGTACATATATCTGTGCGTTGAGATCGCGTCTTCTTCAAATACTTTCTCGTCGAGCCGTAAAACCGATAAAAACTGCACGACAGCGCTGTGCCAATCGGTCCTCAATTCCAACAAAGAACTAGGGCCGTGCGATCGAGCTTTTGCCCCGAAAACGCGCGATCTCGGCGATTGATCGTAAGAGAGATTTCTCGAGAGATTTCTCGAGAGATGCCAAAATACATCGGGAAAGAATCCCCCGCGCGGGCAGGACGGGCACGTTCTGCCTCACGAGACAGGACGCGCGGGGCGATTTCCGCGACGCGCGAGCCGCGTCCGCTCGTGAAAATGATTCCTGCGCTAAAATCTCGTAACCGGAAGACGTAAAGTACGATCGCACGTCGCCTCAACGATCAACATCCCCAAGTTACGCCGCAAGGTGCCAACGTTCTGAATCTCCACCTCTTCTCACCCCGTCCCTCTCTCCCCGCCTCCTCTCTCTTCCTCTTTCATCGGCGCGTCTGGTGGGGGATATCAGGCTGCAGGCTAATGGTAGGAATTCCGGCTTGGTGGGGGTCGATTCGTCTACGAGTGGGGACCATATGAGAGCACAGAGAAGTGAGTAGGTGCCGGGGGGGGGGGGGCGGCGGACGGCAGGAGGGGTAGGAGATGGGCATGAGCAGTAGAGGGAACGGAGTAGCCGCCGAAAGCGCAAAGAGAGCCATAATTCGCCGGGCCGCCCCGCAATCAGGTTCGTGCTTTACAATCCGCCTTACTCGCGACATTCGTCGTCGGACGGAATAAAAAAAAGAAAGAAAAAAGGACGGTATATAGTGTTTTTACCTATGTTTAATGCCGGATCGGACCGCTCTCGTGGTCAGTCGTCGGCTCTAACGTGCTTAACCGCGGAGGCGTGAGAGCGTGCGTGCGCGCGTTTTTAAAAGCGACTCATTGATCTTGACGCACAGTAGCATTCGCGCGCGCGGCCTCCGAGCGCGGTTCGTATGTCGCGCTTCCGAGGAGACGTAGTCGAGTGCCGCCGCGCGCGCAAGAGAGAGAAGTAGTGGTGCCGAGCGGAGAGGCGCGCAGGAAAATGAAAAGGAACTCAGTGCCTCATTGACAGCTTCGCGCCGAAAGTCATCTCCCGCCTGTCAGTTGATGCCGGGGATCCCTCGCGCAGCACGCGACTCGCTGGAGATTCCCAGCCCTCGGCTCCGATCGATTTCCACATGTCGCTCGCGCCAGGACGGCGGGACCCTTCGTTCATTGTTATCTCCGACCCCTAGTGCGACCCCAGGCACCGGAGAGAGAGAGAGAGGAAAAAAAAATACAGGCCGCAGATACCAAAGATACCGGAACGGAGGTAACCATCGCTACGCTAATTTCGTTAACTCGGCTCCGATCGAAGGGAAATGTGCAGTCGCGAAATTGTATCATTCTATTGTTAAAGTGCCGCTTTCATTTCCCCCCCCCCCTTCTCCGATTTTTGGTGTTAAACGTGCGTTCAATCGTTATACTTACTCGCGCTCCTCGACCTCGTGTGAGAACCATCGCTCCGGCGTTCTCCAGCGTCCGAATTGTGTAGCGTCGTCGTTCTCCTTCTCCTCCTCGTCACCATCGCCGTCGCGTTAAATGTGAGCTGCTCCACCTACACGCACGGGCACTTCTAAACGCACGACAAACACGCACACACGCGCGCACACGCATGCCCGCGAAAGACACTTGGCGTGCTCGGAGAACGACGGTGCGCGCTCGCGCACGTGCACGTCGGTGCGTACACAGAGTCACGATTCTGTACACGGTTCTGATTATTAACGAGTTATTACTGCGATACTAATTAAGTTTAATCGCAAGGCCGCCCGTTCGTTAAAGTTAATTGCACGATCGACCACGGCCCACGCCATTAATTGCGCCGCCGTCCTGCTCGTTGTTCGACGTGCGCGCTTTTATAGTTGAGCTTACGTGTTTTGCGATCGTGAACGGATCCGCGTGCGAGGTGATACGATTCCTCGCGGAAATACACCGCGCATTCGCGCGCGTTTAGCAAGGTACCACGCCGGACGTGTGATATTTCACGCGGCGCAATGATTTCGTCGAAATTTGCGGCGTCGGTCCGAATGATTCACGCCCGGCCACGTACAAGTAAACATTTATCCTTTTGGCAAACTGTCAATGCGCGGTCAAGGGTTTCCCTGGGTTTATTTTTGTCAAATACTGCAAATTGCCGATTGCTTATATCGAGTTACGCGTTACGCGACGTATATTATGTATATCGCGCTTCGTGTAATCAATTGCGTTATACATTTTCACAGGAGATATTTTCTCTCCTTGCAGTATCTTTTAAACGGAATTGCTCTCGTGGTCGCTGGTGTTATTGGAAATTATTAGACGGGTATCTACTTAATTTAAATCGAGGTATCCGATACGGGAAAATTCGCGGCGGTTTATTTCGCGCAAACGTCTCGTTTCTTTTGCATCACCTGTTCTGCGAATTTACAAAAATAGCTGACTCGAGATCGTGAAACATATAGCGCTTTCTTTATTTCCCAGTAAAAAAAATTGTTAGACGACATTTTCTTATTCCGCTACGACTTTATTTATTCGGTTTCCTAACGCACAGATTAAGCGATCATTAAGGATCGCTATTGAATGCTGGATAGTAAATGCCGATAGCTTTTGCGTTACGAAATTCTCATCTTTCGCAAAGTTGTTGCCAAACGCAATAATGTCTCGAGGGATTTTCCAATTTCGTCACATTTCACTACTCCAATATGTGATCGTACTATTTTCGATAATCGATTATTAAGAAGATTATTATAGAGATTTACGTTATTTAATTTAACGTTTATTCCGAGAGGGAAACCGTTGAAGACACTGTGGTGTACAGATTTGCGGCATTGCTGGGCATTACTAGGCATTTTTTCGGCATTAGTTTGGGCATCATAAAGATAAAATAAGATAAGAAGATTAAGTAATACCCACTGGGCATTAGTGGGCATTGGTGTACAAGATTTTGGTCAGCGGTTTCCCCCTCGGTTTCTTCTCTGCTGAAAGCAATAGGTATTTAACCATTTACAAGGAACTTTGTGAAAATTTTGTTATCCTGTCAGAAGATGTCGAGGAAATATCTTTGATCAATCGATTGACAGCGGTTAATGACAAGTGACTTATATATGTATACAATTTCGTGATTTTTTGAAACAAACACGGACGTTATTGCAAGTTTGATAATGCATATCTATGTAACGATGATAAATCGATTACGATAAATCGCGTACCGAACAATGATAATAAATGTAGCTCGACGTGCTGCCAACTTTTTCTCGTTTTCGACTTGTCATCATAATTTTACGTTACTGTCGCCATTCGTCCGATCGATTTTACATGCCGAATAATCATCCTGTTTACCTAATGTCGCAATTTCCCGCAGTGGTTGCCTGATTTCACGATTTTCATGCGCGTTGCCTTTGACATTAAGCCTTGATAACGCTGGTCGCCGCGTGGATTGAACTTTGTTTGTCATTTCTGGTAGATCGTTGGTCGCGGAACCTGAATCCGATCGTAGAATTGCGCTGTCTCCTCTAGTTCTGGAAAAATTGACAAGAAAGTTGCGAGAAAGGTGTTTTTTACCATATCTGACAGTCTGCTACTGACAAGCCCGAATAAACCTGAGGAGCTAAGAAGTTCCTCCAGTGCTCAAAATGAAGAATAGACAATGCAATTTAAGAAAAGATCATATTCCGTTCACAGTTACCTACCATGAATTATGACGAATCGTTTTTGTAAGCTACGGGCACTACCAGCTGTTGGACACTTGCACGGTAAGTCAAAAGAAAAGTAGATTTTTCATATAATTAGACACCAAAGGATTATATTCGCATTTACTCGAAATCCCTGAAATCTAAGTCAACATGCCCTGAGACCATAGATCCCAAAATACAATTTTAGGTTCACTTCGTCATAATTCATGGTAGGTAACTGCGAAATATGAGTCTTTTCAGGCTTAAAGTACTTTGTCTATTCTTTATTTTGAACATTTAAAGAATTTACTATCGCTTCAGGTTTAGCAGTAGCAAATTGCCAAATGTGGTCAGAAACACGTTTTTTTGCAATTTTCTTTTCAATTTTCTCAAAAACCGATCTACGATCGGATCCATCTATCAAAACTCTACCAGAAACAACAAAGTTGTATCTACGCTTAACGCGGCGACTAGTGTAATTAACTATTTACTTCTACACGACTGCTAGTATATCTAAAATTGCATCACACCGAAAGTAAAGTTTTCCCTGGTAGAAACAATTTTATAAAATATTAAAACATTAAATACTCCATAATTACTCAATAAAATGATTAAAAATAATACATTAATGTTATTTTAATGTTAAAACGTTCTTAAAATTAAGTACTGTCGAGATATCTTAATCTCGAATTTATTATTTGCTAAGGAAAAATTAAGGAAAGTAAACTGACAATGTTTTTCTTCTTTAACGCAAACGTGAATATAAATTACATTATATAATAAATAATAAAAGAGCTAATGCGAGACCAAATAGTTTTATTAAAGCGTAGAATAATTTATTGTCGTAACGTTATTTCTGAAAAGTTAGAATCACGAATTATAACAGAATAGTCAGAAATCGAAACTGAATTTTCGTGCAGATACCTTACCAATTCAACCATCAGGATATAATACTGTTTCCGGTACATATTTTGAAACGAACGTTTATAATTTATCAAACAGTATGCAACTTTGCTTGTATTATAAAAAAAAATTGATTGCTATACTGAACTGTTTCTTGGATGATTTGCTTTTCAAAATGTTAATTCCGATTATATTTCGCAGCAAATTATTGAAATTAACGAAATGTGATGCAACCATTAGGTAAACACCTGGAGTTATTAATTCATCATATACCTCGTTGTGTTTTACGTTAAAATTTATACAATGATAAATTGTACCAAAAAAATTATACTCCGTTTCGCAAAATTAATAATTCATAAAAAATTAATAATTCTTTTGTATACAATTTATCATTGTATAAATTATAAATATTATAATTCCGTACGACAAGCGTAATGTTATAATACGTAAATTTTTGTCTCCATCTAACGGAAACTAGAACTTTATTTATGCAATATGGCTTATTTGACCTTTCAAACTAACCACCTCATCATTTCTTACTGCTATTCGTTATTCAGCCTTTGAGAAATACAAATTATGCAAAAACATGACAAATTCTAATAGATGTTTGAAACACCAGAAGTTTTTTATATATTTACTTCTTAATATATTTTGTGCAGAAATGTATTATTGCTTCTAGATTATAAAATTTTTAGTAATTTATTTGGTAGAATATTTCTGTATCTCCCTGTCTTTCTCTCTCTCACTCTCTCATGCAAAACCATCCCAGAAACATATGATTAAAAGAATGACTTTAGCTTTATTGCTTCCATATAAATGCATTTTCTATTATTGTAAAATTTTATCTTAATACTTAAATTATTAATATTTATTTTATTTTTATTTTTAACATAAATATTTGCACTAAATTATTATTCGATATTTAAGCGCGTAAATGGAAAATAAAGTAAAAATCTTAAAATAAACGTGACAGGTACGTTTATACGTTATATGTTTGTTTATTATAATAGAAATGTATAAATTTATATTTTATATATTAATTTATAAATGATAACGCACTGTAACGAAATTAATCGTTAGAATATTTTTGTAGTGTATAAACGTTTTATTAAAATCATTGGAACATATGTTATTACATGGTCATAAATAAACATATACCATACTTGCCCGACTTATTACAGAAATTTTATGTTGTTTGTATGTCAGTTTAAATATTGAATACTAATTTGTAGAAAATATTAATCTCAAAATATTTCCTACATGGAATTAATTGGTACTGATTTTTGTTTCTCAAGTTTGGCATTCATTTTATATTTCTCAAGTTCGCAAAGTTTCAAACAAAAGTCTTTAGTAATTAATATCCGTGCTCGTTAATTACTTCTTTATTTCCGCGATAGTATTGAACTGCTTTTACTCGCTGCAATTAGCGACTTTCTTTGCTCTCGCACCCGTACAAGATAACTACAGTGTAATCATAGAACGGAACTTTTCAGACGTCGTGCGCGGCGATATGGCAGGCACGCATATTCGTCGTATTGCGTGCGACGCGTGTGATCAATAAATCGTGTTCGTGCCTGTGCAGCACGAACACGACGATAAACGCGTGTGTGCAAGCACGCACACTTATACGATAGAATACTCGTGTAAGAACCTAAATCTGAACCGTAGTCTAACGGAAATCTATTCGTACACATCATCTTACGATGTGCCACGTATACAC